GGAGATGGGGCTTCAGAACCCCAATTCAGGAGATCCCAGTTTGGGAGATCCCATGGCTGGGCACCTCCACCTCTGTCACATTTTGGTGAAGACAAAGAGGGAAGGGTTTGGATTCCTCCAAACTGCAGAGCGGAGCAGCCTTTGGGGCACAGCTCCACTCTGAGCATCCCTCTGAAGTGCAGAGCCCTTCTTGTGGATGTGTGGGTTTTTCCATGGGGTGGTGAGAAGGGAAGTTTCTTTTTAAGGTGGGAATGCCAGGATACTCAGATATTTGTGCCTCCAAACATAACATTACAGCCATAAGTGGTTTTTTTTTTTCCTAAAGCAGTAAAGAAGGAACAGTTTTCCAAAGAGGAAAATGTAGTTTTCCCTACACATGGCACTGCTTTGGGGGTGTCAGTTAAGGTTTTTTGCTTTATATATCTTGGTACCATTTTTCCCACTGGTTGTAATTAACTAATTAACTAAACCAACTGTCCCCACAGCAGCACAGAGGGCTGGGCTGTGAAGCAGAAGGATATGGATTGAGTGTCCCCATCCCTGTGCTCTCAGGTTCCATCATGGGAATGGCAGCAAGCGGGGAGCACGTCCCTGAGCAGACCCTGAGAGCAGCACAGACCCCACTCCCACACCAGGTCGATACCAGTCTCTGGTTCCATGATGTCAGATTGCACAATGGGCACCCCAGGCGGGTGATGAAGGTGACACCGAGCCACCAAGGAACCACAGCACTTCTCCTGCGGCGCTGCTGGCCAGCCTGACCTTCAGAGATCATGTTCCCTGCTCCAGACCACCACAGCATCCCTCAGGACAAGCCCAGTGGATATTTTGATTGGCTCCTTGAGGAGCTCAGGCATTGACCTGGCTGTTTAATGGTTCTCCCAAACACAACCCGAGGAGCCTGTGCAGCCTCCAGCCCATCCTTGGAGTGTCAAATGACTCCAACCTCCCAGCAAGGCCTGGGGCCATCTGCTCAGAATGGGGATTGATCCAGCCTGACAGAATCCCACGATTTCAAATAAAAAGCTGCGGCTGAAATTACACGTGGAGTGACCTCAAGACACTCAGTTCCTCTCCAAGAGGAATTTGTTCTTCCAACGGAAATCTCCATGAACCCCAGCCCCAGTTTAATGTGGAGAGGTTAAGGCAGGACCATGAACGTCTCTCCTGAGGCTTCCAAGCACCAGAGAGGCTGAAAGGGTCTGCAGAGCCCCTTCCCATCAGGAACCCGGTGCTGGAAGGGCTGGGAACTCAGCAGGAGCTGGAAACCTCCACAGCCAGCTCCTCCTGGGACCCCAGGGCCACATCCTGAGCTGGCACCACAAATCCTTCATGCAGAGAGGGAGGGAAGGACTGAGCCCCACACCCGGCACTGCTGAGTCCTGATTCCAAAGCCAGGCTCAAGGAACCTCCAGGATAAAGGAACCTGCAAGTGCTGGATCCAAACCCCTCCCCAGGGGGAAACCAAAGGAGCCATCCACTCCCAGAGTGTGGGAATCCAGGGCTTCCCTCTGGCTGCCCTGGCAGGTCTGGGACCCTGGCAGGGGTCAGGAACCCCCCTGTACAGAGCCCCCAGAGACACTGGCTGTGATCTCTGTCCATGGAAAAGAGTTTTCAATCTTACAGGGTGAATTACAAGCTTTGAGTGTTTGATATAAGTAATAATTAAGTGTGGCACGGGTGCTAAAGTAAAATTTTAGGATTCTAGATTGGGGGTCCAAAGGGGACAAGATGGAGGAAATTGGGTGTGTCTTGTCCTTTTTCTCCTTCTTCATGCCCTCCATGTTTCACTGTGCTGTTGGCATTTTTCTGTTGGTTCAGGCTGGGGACACACTGTCCAACGTAGGTGACAGATATTGGCACGTTATTGTAAATCCAGCACAGGTAGTTTGTGGTATTTAATGTTTGTACCATCCCACTGAGGGCAGAGCCCCACACGCTGCCCTGCAGGACAGAGCTGCGGCAGGGCAGCAGAACATGTTAGAGATAAACAGAATAAACAACCTGAAACCAGCACAGACCAATTATGGCTTCTGCTTTGGCAGCGGGGCAGAAAGACAGAGACTTTCTACAGTCTCGGGATCATCAATACCACGGATTCTGACACCAGAGCTGCAGAGGAGACGCCTCCAAGGGAGACCTGGAGAGCCAAGCTGCCCCCAGAGCTCTGGGGGGTTCATGAGTTCCTGCCTGACAAGTGGGAATGGTGAAAAGAAGAAATTTGGCTTTTCTGGTCTTCCCTGAAAGCCAAGGAATAATATTCCAGCTAGGAAGTTGGAGGGCAGCAGGAGAAATCTCAGAGATGATCCTGGAAGTGCTCTGAGGGGGAAAGTGATGGGACTGGGGAAGCAGATGACTCTACAGAAGGAAAAGTGCTGAAGATGGCAGAGACAAAGGCAAGAGCTCCAAGGAAATAAAAAGTGAGGGGAAGAAGGAGCTAAAAGAGTTGCACCTTTTGTGAATTTCTTTATAATCTCTCTCCTTGGTTGAGACAACAAAGCGTAGGATGGATCCAAAAGCTTTGAATCCAACTGCACCCCCATGGAAGGATGGACCTGGCCAGCAGCATTCAGTGTGAAACCAATAAATAAGGGGCAAAATGAGTCAAGGAAGAAATTTTTATAGGGAAAAAAAAGCAACATAAGAGAGTGAAATAATGTCTTCAAAATTGCTGCACTCAGTGTAAAACATTTTCAAGAGATGGCCAGGAAAGGGAGTCTGATCCATCTGGGAGCTTGCAGAAGAGACCAGGCACCCTGTGGATTTATCTGCAGGAAAAGGTCCTGGCAGACACCTGGGAAGGCACAGCAGGAAAGGTCCTGGCAGACACCTGGGAAGGAGCAGCAGGAAGAGGTCCTGGCAGACACCTGGGAAGGAGCAGCAGGAAGAGGTCCTGGCAGACACCTGGGAGGGAGCAGCAGGAACAAGTCCTGGCTGCTGGGGCTGAGCACCCTGACACCAGAACCTTGTGGGAATGAGGCAGGGAGCACATGGAGCTGTCGGTCTCAGATTCAGTCAAAGAGAGAAATGGAGAGTTTCTAACCAGGCAGCAGCCTGGGGATCTGTTAGAAAAGAATGTAAATAAGGTTCTTTATCTCTCTTGTTGTTCACATTGTTTATAGTTAAGTTCTACCACTGTGCGTCATGCACTGTACACCAATGCTGTGGAATGTTTTCACTTCAGGACCAATGGAATTGGCCTGGACGAAGCTCTGTATAAAGAGCGATGCATTCTGAAATAAATCAGAGTTTTACTCTCTCAACCTTCTGACTCAGGGTCTCCTCATCCCCGTCCTGCCTCAACAGCGTCCCCGAGCAGCCTGGGAGCACAGCCTGTCCTGCTGGCCCTGGGCACTGCCATGACATCCAGACACGGAATTCAGGCATGGAATTCATTGCTGCGACCTCCTGGTGTGTCCCAGCCAGGGGGACACGGGCAGAGCCACATGGAGTTTAAAATTAAACCCAACACCGGTTCAGGATGGCTGGCACAGTCCCTGGTGCTGGATGGCACAGAGCTCTGGTTTCTGTCTGCCATGCAGAAGGACACGGTCTGAGCGTCCCCAGCCCTCTGCTCTCAGAGCCCAACCTGGGAATGGCCGTAAACAGGAAGAGTAATTTAAATTTTTTTAAGAAATAAATAGCAGCATTCGACCCTGACAGCTGCACAGACCCCGCTGTCCCTTGGCTGTGCTGGGAATGGGACAAAGCCACCACTGTGTGAGCACAGCACGAGGGGTGCAGCACTGAGGGCCCCCGAGCTGCTCTGAGAGGGGCAGGGGGATTTTCAGTCATGGTAAAGCTGAGCTTGCTTCAATCAGGGCCAGGAAGGAATGCAAGAGTCCCCCAGGGTCCCCACAGGGACCACCCAGTCCAGGGGAGCTGAGGCTCCCATGGGATTGAAGGGAACAGAACCCACCCCAGTGGGTCCCAGGGGTCCCGTCTGCTACGGGAGGGTGACAGAGATTTACTGAGCCCATCAAATCTCTCATTCTGCTGCTCCTGAGTCATGCCAGGCCACAGCCACGGCAGGGTTGGCCCTGTTTGGCTCTTTGCATCCCCCACTCCCTGCCCAAACCTGAGCTGGGCACGCAGAGCCCACAGCTGGGGCAGAGCTGAGCTCTTCTGACCAACAAGCATCTTTCCTGTCCCAAAGCACTGATTTTTCCCTCTTGCTTTGCTAGTTTCGCCATCTGCTAACAAGGTATTTTAAAATAAAAGCAAATTTCAACAGCAGAAAAACCACAAGCTCAGCCTAATGAAAGCCTTTTTCTAACACACAGAAACCAAGACCACGCAACAGCAAGGGCAGAAGTGACAAATCCTGCTGGAAATTGCTTGCACCAATTTGGCCCCCTCTGCAACACCCAGGAAGGATGGTCTTTAATTGCAACCCACAGACACATCGCTTGTGAGCTATTTTTTTAAGTTTTTAAGAAATAAACAGCAGCATTAGACCAGTGCTGAATTCCTGAGGCGCCCTCTTGGATTACCTGGGGCCGAGGTTTAAGATACACATCAAATTCAGGCCTTGCATCCATTCTGGTTTGAGCTATTTCGGTTGGGTGGGATGGAAATCACATGAACAAAACGCTTCTTTTGTTCCCCACCCAAACCCCAGGCATCAGGAAAGACCCGCCCAGATCCTCCTCGGAATGGGAACAGCCATCAGGAACATCATTGTCAGGAGAAGGCTCTGGAAAGATTGAGGAGATACAGAGTGCACCTCTGTCACCTCAGAGACAGCTGCGAGATGGATTTGTGCTCTTCACTCCACCACCCACTCAGAAAAGAGATCCAGGTGACTGCTGACTTAAAGACAGCTCAAAAATAGGAAATTAATGCACTCCAGATCTGGAGGGCTGAGTTTTATAACAGTGGCTGTGGAAAACAAACTGAAATCCAGCTCCATCTGCTCACCTCCAGTGGCACCTTGCCATCATTGTAACAACTCGACACAAGTGTGAGACACAAGAAGAGAAATAAAATGAGACACTCACCCTCCTTCAAAGATCTTGATCCTCACTGGCTCCCCTCGCTTGGTCACAAGAGCCTCTTCTTCTGATTTTCCCCTTTTCTCCTCTTCCTTCTCAGCTCTAGTTATATCTTTTCGACCTTCATTAGAAAGGAGCGAAGGCAAATGAACCTATCTCCCCAAAAGAGCAAAACAATCCATGATTACAGACAGAATCACTGGCAGGCACACACAGAGCAAACAGCCCCAGCAGAGCCAGAGGCATCCCCAGCGCTGCTCCTGACACCAGGGGCTGGAACTGGGGCACCCCCCTAACAAACGGGCCCTGCTGCTGGATCTGGGGCCCTGAGGGTTGTGGTGTATTTACTGTGACCCCTGACAAGATTTTTAATTGCTCCCTCCAGGTTATCCAGCTCTTGCCAACTGGAAAAATGAAGGATGAAGGGAAGCGTGGTGGCTGGGGTGACTCTGAGCATGTGGGGTCTCTGTTCCCAAGTCTCTGTCCCTGGATAATCCTCTCTCTGAAATGCACATCTGAAAGGTCTGGAGAGGAGGCAGCTGCAGAATTCGTGCACTGAACCTCCAGGTTTCCCCCACATTCGCTCACATTCACACAAATTTGGATTTCAGCCACCCTAGTCTGACATAAATCAGCTCTCCTGGGTGATTTCCTTCCACTGCAACCCCGCTGCCATGGGCACAGCCCAGAGAAAGCCACAAAACCCACGGGAGAAAAGAATCCTCAACCTCCCCACACGTTCCCAGGGCCAAATCTGCTTTTTCTCTGTTAAATTGCCACTTGTTGAGGGGGTTTTGTGTCTAAACCTTGTCTAGCCCAAGGTTTAAGTCATGCCCTGACACCTCACCTACACGATGAACATTGTTTGTTATAGGATGGACCTAAACATCAAAGCTGCCTCTGTGGGTGGGATGAAGGAGAGCTCTCCACACCTGGAATGAAATGTTGGGATGTCCTAAATCCTGGGACAAAGCCAGGGAGAGCTTTCCACACCTGGAATGGAATAATGGGATGTTGCCCCCTAAATCCTAACAAAAGAAGTGCAGGTGAGCTCTTCAACCTGGAATGAAATGTTGGGATGTTGCCCCTTAAATGCGAACAAGACAAAGCCATGGAGAGCTCTCCACAGCTGGAACGAAATGTTGGGATGTCCTAAATCCTGGGACAAAGCCATGGAGAGCTCTCCACAGCTGGAACGAAATGTTGGGATGTCCTAAATCCTGGGACAAAGCCATGGAGAGCTCTCCACAGCTGGAATGGAATGTTGGGATGTTGGTCCCCTACAGCCCAACAGGACAAACCCAGGGATCTCCAGAGAAAGGAAAGCAGATGCCTTTCCCCAGGTCACTTCTCACACAGTCACTCTGACATTCAGCTGAATCCATGTCCTGGATGAGGATCCTGGATCCATACCCTCACATTGATGGAAACGGGCTGCAGGCAGCTGGGAGCAGTTTTTAGAGGGGTTTTGGCCTGCAGGCAGCCCCTGAAGGCTGGGGCAGAGCTGGTCACCCTTGGCTCTGGCTGGCAGGAGTGGCAGCTGCCCCCGTGCCTCACCTGCCTCACCTCAGCCTCGTCTGCAGGGGGATGAATCACCCCAGTGGAGCCTCTTTGTCTCCCCTGGTTTTGGGGGAAGCCACAGAGCGAGCAGCTCCAACAGAGTCCTACAGAATCCAGTGGGATATAACCCAGCCCCCCCAGCTGCTGGAACTGCCACGGGATGCTCAGCAGGAGGAGGGATGGACTCACTCAAAAGCTGCTTTGCAGAACTGGGGTCAAGCATTTCAAACTTGCCCAGGAATTTCAGGAGCTCAGCTCAGAGCGTTAAATGCACCCAGGGCTGCTGTCTGTCCTTGGGGCCAGGTCAGCCCCATGTCCACACCATCCACACACCCATCCTAGAAACCTCCTGGGAATGGTCCCTGTGCAGTCCTATGTCCTAAAAGTGACAGGAACTTCATGACAAAAGGCCCAGAGCAAAACAGTGCCAGGTACCATTTGAACCATTTAACAGCAGGAATGGTCTTGAGCTGGTGGCTGTGGGCATGGAGATGGCAGTGAGGAAATCAGCAGCAGGAGACACTCAGAACCCTCAGAAATTAAACTTTTAGGGTTGTGACTTCACCTCCTGATAGGAGCTATGGGCTCAGAACACTGCTAGGGACAACCTTCCCAGGTTTGCTGAGGAATACAAAACAATTGACTTGCTAGATGTAGCACGAGGTTTATTTATTGCAACTTTCGAAAGCACAAAAACATTGACAGATGAAAGGCACCAGAGAGCCAAAATCATACAGTCACTACTATCCCCTTTTACAATCTTGTTGGAATTTACAGAGAGTGCAAGCCCCAGTACGGTGTCACCAGCCATCCCTACATGCACGCTGGAGCCTGCAGCCACTCCAGAATTCCAGAATTATCTGCTCGGCAAATCCCACTGGAAATTTAAACCCCAAGCCAAGGACGGAGACAGCACGTACAGAACTACTGTTTGCTGCATGCATAACTGTACAAAATACCAGAGCTTTTTTACATCTCCTGGGAGGCCAACTGACAACCTGGAGTTACATAAAGGCGGAATCTCGAAGGGAAGGAGCCAGAGAAGAGTTAGCTGAGGGGTGGACTCCAACCCTGGAGTGATGCTACTGCTGCTGCACGTCCTGGCAGCCGCTGCTTCCCCAGCCGTGTGTTAAACCCTGCACGGAGGATCTCACTCCCACTGATCACAAATTAGTGCTGTGCTTGGCAAGAATTTGATTTATCTCGGCTGCAGCTCGCAGGGGTTCTGCCAGCCACGCAGGGAGGAGGGCTGGGTTTAGGATCTGCTGTTTCCCAGGGGAACTGGGCAGGGTGAACTCTTCCTAACCCTAACCTGAACCTACACCACCAGGCAGCTTGGAGGGGCTTTTTGAGGGGGTTTAGGAGGCTCTGGGGGAAATGCATGCAGTGAAATGTGGGTTTGGATGAGTGAGGGCTGAACCATTCCTGTTTAACCTTTCCCCTCAGGGCGGGAGGGTCTGGTACCTCTGGACACACACTGGGTGTGGGTTTTAGCACCATGGCAAAGAGCAGGGCTCAGAGCAGCACAGGCACTTCCTTTAGGGATTGAAATCGAGGATGCTATGGCACCACTCAGATAAAACCCTTGGAAAAACAGTGCATAAATCTCAGCATGGTTATTGCACTGCTCAGGTAATTATCTGCCCCTGTGTCCCTAGAAATCTGTCTCTTGGATTTCTGCAGGAGAGTGATGGAAATGCTGAATAGAAATAAAGATTTATTGAATCAAAGCGATTCTACTGTGTATTTAAGACATATTTATAAGCAGCAGCTGCAGCAGCAATTATGATAAATTTAATATTCAGAGTTCATTTCATGACACAGAAATAAAATGAATAATCCATCAATATAAATTGACTTGAGATGAATATCAAATTGCAAAATCTTTAGAGCAATTCTGTTTGCTAATCTACATGAACATGATCTGGATTAAAGGGATCTGTTTGGTTCAGCATTAAGCAGGAAGGGTAAAGTCTGGCTTTAAAATGAGATTCATAAAATTAGGCAGCTCACAGGAGGGTCTTAAAGACTTCTGTGCCCATGTGGGCAATGCCTTGGGGGAGCTTTGCCCCTGGGAAGCCACTGTGAAGTCTTAATTCTAAAACCAGGCATAAAATATCCTTAAATACCTGGAAAAGCAGGTGGACAGTTATGGACCAAACGGACCAAACCACAGGGGTGTTTAACACAATGTGTCGGACCCACTGAGACACTTTTATAAATGTCACTGTCAGCCTTTGTGCTTCTTCAGGGGCCTAAATACACTTGCAAATCTCCCTTTAATATTTTTTAAATACTTTTAAGCATGCCTCTCCATGTTCATTAATGTGAGATCAGCAGATGCACAACCAGACAGAATCCCATTTCCCCAAGGTAATCCTCTTTTTTTCATTTCCAACATGCAAAAGGTAGGGAATTATAACAGCGTTTAAAGAAAAAAAAAAAAAAAAACAAAAACAAAACCAAAACAAAAAGTTGTAAAGCAGTTTGAAATATCAAGACAAATGCAAATGAAGTCTAATCCTTTGTGCTGGAGCAGTGGTGGTTCATGGGGTGGTGGTGGTGGTGATGATTCCTACTTTTTGGGTTACAAAGCAAGTAGGAACTGGAGAACAGAAACCTGGCCTGGGAGCAGGCTCTCCTGCCTCCTGGGTTGGGGTTTCAGTGGGGTTTGGGCTCTTCACTCTAAGAGCTTCACCGAGAACAGGCGCCTCCCAAAGCGCCAGCGGGACGAGTAAACCCCAACCAAGCTCAGCACAGCCACGCCCCGGCCCTCAGCCCCCTCTACCCACGCATCCAAATGGATCAGGAGAAAGAGATAGGATTGCATTACCTCGGTCATTTTGGGCTTCCTGGAGCTGGCCGGGACCAGCCTGCCCGCCTCAGGCCGCGGAGCGGTGGCCATGGTGTAGGTCTCCTTGCTCACCTTCTGCTTGGACCTCAGCAGGGCCAGGGCTGCCTTGGTGGACACCCCGGGCAGGTTGGGGTTGTAGAGGCTGATGCACCAGCTGGCGTACACCGAGGAGCGGCCATCCGCTTGCTGGGTGTGATTTGGCTTTATGTAGTTTAAATAGCACCAACTGACATTAGTGGTTGTGTGGAGACTGGGGAACTGCAGGACCTTCTTGCTGTCTGTGCCTTCCCGAGCCTTCCCCGCGCTGGCGGCGCCCTCGGGCACGGGGGCAGTGCTGGCAAGGGTTGGTGGAGGATGCTCCACCGGTTCTTTGGAGTCTTCCTTCTTCACAGGCTGCAGAGGCTCCTGACTGAGGAGCTGTTTGCCAGCTGGCTGCTCGTACTCCTGCAGTGCCTCAAAGCCCGGGGACCCCGACCGGGACACTGCCTGCTGGGAACTGCTCGGGGTTTCCTTTGGCTCTGGCTGCTCCATGGACACGCTGGGTGGTGTCTCAGCCTCCACCCTCTCTTGGCTTTCTGCAAGGAAGTGAGATTTATCCTGCTTTTTCCCTTCCTCTATTGCACTGGGTGGCTTCACCACTTCCAGTTTATCTTCTGCTTCAGACACTTCCTCCTCCTTCACTCTCTTCTGCTGCTGTGTCTCCATCGTCAGCTCCAAACTGCCAGCTGGGGACAGCATCCTTTTGCTCCCCCCAACTGTGGAGGGGCCCCCTTCCAGGCCGAGGACGCTGTCTGAGGGGCAGGTGAGGGGCATGTAGCCCTTTCTCTCTGGTAAGGGCAGGGGCACTCTCAGGTATGGGCTCTGGAAAAGGCTTCTCTGCTCCTCTGTGATCATCTGGGCCAGGTCAAAACCCAGCCCGTGGACATCAGCGCTGCACACCAGGGCACCCTTGGGCTGGCGGTCATCGAATTTGGGGAGGACGATGGTGGAGGAGCTGCACTGGGACTGCGTGACCAGGATCTGGGAGAGCGTGGTGTACATGGCGCTGCCGTAGGAGGGCATGTTGGTCTGGATGCGAACGGGGACAACCAGCGACACCATGGGCTCTGTCCGGGTGGGGACAACGAGCTGGGTCACGGTGACAGACAGCGCGGGACTCGCTGTGCAGGTCAGAGGGTGCAACCTGCTGTCCGAGTCATAATCCGTGCATGGGGACAGGCTGGAGCTTCCTGCTGCTGAGAACAAACTGGATTTGATCTGTGGCAAATGTCCACCAGCATCACCTGGCAAGTGGAGGGCAAACTGAGACTGGAGAGGCAGGAAGAAGGCTGAGGGGATCGGGGAGGAGCCAGGGTAGTGCACGGGCAGGAATGAAGGGTGCCTGAAGGACACCTCGGCGGGGTGAGACATCAAGGGAGGAGCGATGTGGAGCGGGCCCGGGTGGATCAGCGTTTGCGGGAGGGGCAGCGGCGGTGTCTGGAATATGGAGGGAGGGATCTGAGGCATGGAGAACTGGGCAGAGAGGATGTCAGACATGGTGTGTGCAGCGAAGAGCTCTGCAGACTGCCCCGGCTGCGGCAGGAGGTGCTGGTAGGGGAATATGGAAACCTGAGGGGCCATGAAGTGCTTCTCATGCAGCGTCAGCTGTGGCACGGGGTGGTGGAACACCTGCAGAGCCTCTGTGTATGGCGGGCTGTAGGATGGCTCGGGGCTGTCCTTTGGCTGGCTCTTGTCACTCGGGTAGGTGCCGTGAGAGGGCAAAGAGGAGGACGTGGTCGGCTGATGGGGCAAACTCGTGGCAGGAGATTTACTTGAAGAAGGAGCTGGATCTTCCGTGTCCGGCCAGCCCAGCGGGGCCGGGTCTGGCTCGTGCTCAGGGTGCCTGGTGAGGGACGCCTGCCGCACCAGAAAGCATTTCCTCCGCTCCTGGGGGGCCGAGGAGGTGGAGGGGCCGGGGGTGGAGGCAGGGGTGGACGACAAGCTCCCGTAGTCAAAGGATTTACTGCGAGTCTCTGACATCTGGGAAGGGTGGGACACGTTGGGTGTCTGCTCGGAAGCAGATCTCCGCATTTCCCTGGAATGGTGATGGTGGCTGGGGACCATCAGCATATGGGAGCCAACGCTGGGAGGTTTTGGGTGGGATTCGGAGGGCTGGCTACTCGACTCTGGCTTGGTGTGGTCATCCCGGTCAAAGGAGACGGAGTGGCTGGAGCCGTGGGATAGGCTGCTCTCCTGACTGGGGCTCCGGGTTAGAGAGACGGACTCAAAGCTGGACTCCCCGGAGGACTGGGCCATTTCTGCCAGCCGAAGCCGCTTCTTCTTGGGTGGGAGTTTCTCCGCAGGGAGCTGCGAAAGAGTCTGGCTCCTCTGCGGCCACTGGAATTCCTCGGTTTTCTCTGGCTCCTTTGGAGGAGGTTCTGTCTCTGTTTCTGGTCTGTCCGGCTCTTCTGTGACCAGAATCTCTGGGACCTGGATGTTGGGCTGGCGGACCAGCCTGGGCTGCAGGGAGTGAGGGGGGCGGCTGTGCTGGGGCGTGGGCTGAGATGGGAACTGAGACAGGGGCTTGTCCTCTTCCAAGCTGCTGGGCTGCTCGATGGAGTCTGACTTCTCAAAGGAGCTCGTGTGCTGGATGACAGAAATCTCCTTGGAGGTTGTTCTTCTCTCCTTGCCCTCCGCGCTGGAAGCTGGTTTGGTGTTCCTGGAATGGAAGCTGGCACTGGCCTCGGAAGGTGCGGATTTTCCCGAGTCTGCTGGTGACTTCATGGATTCACGGGTCAGGTTTAGAGCCACCTCAGACGAGGCCAGGTTTGCAAACTGAGTGCCTGGGCCGGCGCTGGAGGAGGGGGTGTCAGACACTTCGAAAGCTGGAGGTTCCTCGTCGTCCCCGAGGCTCTTCTCCTTCCGCCTCTTCCGCAGCGGGGTGAGCTCCAAGGTGCTGCCCAGCTTGTAATGCATCATCTGGGGCCACACGTCGGGATCCGCTGTGCTCTTCTCCGCCTCTGACGAGGTGTGGGACGTGGCAGAGCGGGGCTTGGAGAGCTGCAGTTCTGAGCAGTAGTACTTCTTGTGGGCCTCATAGTTGTCCCTTTTCTTGTAGCGAGCGCCGCACACGTTACACTCGTACATGAACCCTTTTGCCTTCGGGCCCTTGCGGGACTTTTTGGTAAGATCGCTTTCCTTGGTTTCAGGCTCCTCGGGAGGTTTGGGAATACTTTCTTTGCTGGCAGAGCCGACCTCCTCCGAGGCGTATTCCACTCCCAAGGGTAGCTCGATAGCTGGTTGGCGTTTTAGCATTCGAGGGTGGGAGGAAAACGCTTGGCTGCGGCTTAAGACTTCCGGCTCCATGATGTGATCATCAAATGAGTAGCTACCTCTAAAGGTGTGTGGGGAGCTTATAGTGCATGCAGCAGAAGGCATTGAGTGGCTTCTTAGGAGAGGCACTGTCTCTGTGGCACTGTGGGATTGCTGAAGTGACAACAATGATTGTTCGGGCTTCATTTTTTCACCGTGGGATGCCAACACTTTCGCTGCATCCAGCTGGCTGCTGGAACCAGACTTGATATCGAACTGAAAGGGTTCCCTGTACGCACCAGACTTTGGGGATTCAATGCTGCTACGCCTTGATAGAGAACTTCTTCTGGGCTTCACACTGTCGATTTCACTGGTATCCACGACAGCTTCGTTAATGGTAATTAGCTTAGTGATGTGTTCGATCACCTGTGTTCTAGGCACAGACAACGGGACCATGCTGGGCTTCTCATCGCCAGACAGGTGTGGGAACCCCTGGGTTGTGTTTGCAGCCAGCGCCGCCGTCCTCTGCCCAATCCTCCCACACTTCCCGAAGATGATCTCGGCGTAGGATTTGGCATTGGTGTTGGGAGGGCTGATCTGCTGCTCCGCGCTCTCGGATCTGGAGAAGTACCCGGACTCCGTGCTGCCTTTGCTGCCGGGGCTCAGGAACGCCTGCTCGTCGATCACCTTCTTGCGCTCGCTCAGGCGCAGCGCCAGCTTCTGCTTGATGCTGTGGGTGTCCTCGGACTTATGGCTCAGGGCGTGCTCTGATGATGGCTCCACGAACTGGGAGCTGTCCTCGAGGGACTGGGACATGCTGGAATGGGACAGTGAGCAGCGGTCGTGGCTGGAGCCTTGGCTCCCTGCGCTCAGCAGGCTGCTGGAGAGCAGGGTGTGCTTCTGCCTGGGCGACAGCTCCACGGCGTGACCCGACATCGCTGCTGTCTCCTCCTCCGAGTCCGTGCTTTCCCCTTCTGTCGGCTCCTCGAAGTCCTCCCCACCGATCCGCTCCATCTCCAGGCTCGATGGGTACATCTCTGCTCCGATCCCTGAGGCCAGCCCAGCTTTAATCCGGTGAGCATGGGACTTCCTGTGTTTGTACAAGTTGCTCTTTGTCTTGAAGGAGAAGCCACATGGAATGCAAGGGTAGGGCCTCTCCCCGGTGTGGGACCTGATATGTTTCTGGAGCACGCTGGGCTTGGCGCAGGGCCTGCTGCAGTACTGGCAGATGTACTTGCCCGGCTTCTGGGGCTTCTTCTCCTTCTTGTGCACCTCCTCAGCTTGCTTCAGGGACACCTGGGCGGGGCGGGGGATGAAGACCTTCTGCACGGCCGGCATGTCCTCTGCGGGAATGATGGGCGACTGGGACGGGAGGAGCTGGCCGTGGTGGGCGTGCAGCCCGGGGGACGGGAAGGAGCCAGAGGGCCCTGGCCTGACTGGATCAACTAGCTGCCATGTGGGACCTTCCAGGACATGCTCCGGCTTCCCCGGGGACATAAATGCTGGTGCCAGTGCGTGCTGCTGAAGCTGCGGGACGTGGGCAGGGTGGTCAAAGGAGGAGGGCTTGGGTTGCTTCTGGTGGCCGGGCTTCTCCTGAGGCTCCTCTCGTGGAACAGGCAAAGAGCCGGAAAAGTGCTGCTGCGAGATGATATCTCGGAGAGGGGTTCCTTGGGAAGGAGCAGAGCTGCCCTGGTACGTAGTTGGGGATGAAATACTGCCTTGGAAAGCCTCTCCTTTGGGAAGCCTCTTTCTTGGACTTTCCTCAGCCTTTTTTGTGCTCTTCTGGCTTTGTTCAGGATCCATGACCTTAAAAGGGTCTTTGAATGCTATTTTGGGAAGGTTTTGGCAGGCTTCATTTATGAATAATAAAGGTCTCCTCTGTAGATTCCCTGTTTTGCCTGCATTTGCTACGAAGCTGGAGCCGCCAGGAGATGGTTGTTGATTTAAGATTTTACTAAAGTGTCACTAGTTGCTATTTGATTCAAAAAAAAAAAACGTTTCAAGGTCAATAAAGTTCACATTGGTAACACATGACAAACTACTTCAAAGAGAGAAAACTTTCCAAAACTTTCAGTCCAAATATTTTCCTTGTGAACTTGGTTAAGGCTTTAAACCTTGCCATTTTATTTCAGTTGACAGTGGCAAGCCTTCAAAGTCAAGATGCAACCCACAATGTGTCTCTTGTTTGTTATGCAAACCTTTGAAAACTTGAGACTTTAGTGCTCATCTCAGAAAGATCCTTTTTATTTTTTCTCTCTCTCTCTCCTGTGCAAGGAAAATAACACTGAACGGTGGATGTCCCCCTGTGTCTTCCTTCTGTTCCACTTTGGAGTTCAAAGGCCTTGGAAAAGTATTTCCCACATTTCTGTAATTACATCCAAAAGAAAAACAGACAAAAAAAAACTACTTTAGCTTTTGTGTGTAAGTAATTAACCACTGCTCATTTTTGGGAGGGGGGGTTAACAGTAAATATTTTGTACACAAATAATTCAGAACAATTGAATGTCTGCCTAAACCTAAACATAAATTGCACTCAGGCAAACCTCAGGGACTCGGTTTAATGCTCACAAAACCTGGCTCTGAAGCAGCAAACAAAGACAGGAACTTGAAACAGAGACAGTTTGGAAAAATGAATTAAAACGCTTTCAAACTCGAGTTCCTCCTAATCTCCTGCAAACATTTAGGGGTTTAAAGTTTTTATAATTGTATTTCCCTTCCAAACCAGCTGACTCCAAAGCTCTGCCTCACGCCTCTTACATCCCTGACAAGTAACAAGGCATCTTCCCTGGATAGAAGCTGCTCTTGAGCTGTGCTAATCCTCAGTGTCACCTACAACAAAGGCAGGTAAAGAGGAGCTTTTATTGAACTGTTGCCGCTTTAATTTCCTGCCTTTTGTCACCAAACAAAGGTGCAAATCCAATTTCTGTGTCATCGTGGGCTGTTTCTAAAGGGAAACTCCCTTGAAATGAGTGTGGATGGGACTTCTCAAATCGTATTAACCACCTTGGTCAGCAGACACAGCTCCTGATGGGACTCTCCGGGAGGGAATTCCACTGGGATTGCACCCCAGCTGCACTGGAATCAGCCAATGTCTCCAGAAAATGGAGTGGAAATGGGTGGGATGCTCTGAAGGAAAAGCAGGGAGATGCCTTCTAAATGAAATTAATTGATAGGTGTGATTTATAATGACAAATAAATGATTATCCTTCTTTCTGAAGGTATCGCCTGCCCTGTGGTGCAGTGCCTTGCTAGGACAGGATTCCACTGGATTAATCAGAGGAAATCACTCCAAGCCCTGTGTTCCCTGGGGACGGGGCTGAAGTGCCAGTCCAGCAGAGCAGGGGACTCAGATTTGAGCCCAACTTCCTCCTGAAGGGTGAAGAGCCAGCAGGAGAAACCACAAAGTCCTCCAAGGATTCCTCGCTCCTCATTCACTCCTACAGCCCTGCGGACTCAGTGACAAAAGGGACATGGACCTTGAGGGGATTTAGCTGAATTCAGCAGATCTAAGGATACTGGGACACCCTGGGAACCATCGTGGCCAGCCAGACCTCACAAACTCTCTGAAAACTGTCTCCTCAGATGGCCAAATGTAGGGTGCAAGTCCTTGGACACAACTCCCTCACAAAGAGAGGCAGGGACGCAGTGGGGACGACGGATCCCCCATGAGGGGCTCAGTTCAGGGACCTGGGCTCTCCTGAGATGTCATTTGTTACTGGCTGGATGCGTGGCTTCTCTTTCTGCCCACCTGTGACACCACACCTCAGGGAAATGACACTAAATCTGTGCTAGCCTTGAATTTCACTTTCCTTTTCCTCAAATCCAGGTCCTGCTCCCTTCCAGCACCAGCTTCAAACCTTCCCAGGGCCTGCAGAGCACCTGCTCTTGCCCCGACTTGCTGAGGAAGTCAGGCTCATTGCGGTGAGAAGGATTTAATTACATTTTGAAACCCCTTTTCAGAGAGCCCTCAGTGCTGACTAACCCTGGCCGTGGTCTGGGCTAGACTTTGAGCCCAGCATTTATTCAAGATCAAAGACACTCGTGGAGCTGATTTAGCACCTTGATTTCTGCACAGATTGCTGGGGTTTGCCCCACTCGTGACACACAGAGCTTTTTAACTTGGGAGAATTGGGTTTAAGTAGAGAACATTAACTGGGTAGAAGTGGATTTAAGCAGGGATTTTTTCAGCAAGAGCAGAATGAGCTGCCACAAACTCAAATAGTCACATTTAAGAATTCCCAACTGAACAACATTACAATACTGAATTTTCTCCTATAGGCCACATATCAATTCCTAAGTGTTTAATAATTAGGCTTGCAAAGGAAATTCTTGAGTTAATTCAGTATCATCCCAAATGTTCAGATCATCCTCATTCTCCTCTGCTGAACACATGGGCCCCAGGTGATTTTTATTTTTTAGGAATTCTGCACAATTCAAGAACAGGCCAAGAAACAAACACACCTGGTTGCCTACAGCAGCAAGCAGGGTCATTCCGGGCCAGTTCAGGCCATTCTGGACATCTTTATTTCATTAATGGGAATGAGGCTCCTGGAATGCCAGTGGCAAAGGATAATTCTCCTGGCTGGATGCAGTTAATCCAGGCTGAGACTTCTCCAAGGAAAATTTAACAGTGCAACAAAAAATGGGTGAAAAAAATAAAGCCTGGGAGGGTTTCTCCACTAAGGATCCAGAGAGAAGGAAGAAAAAAAAGGGGAAATTCATGAGGGGCAGCTCAAATCTCTGCTCTGGGACAGGGACAGCACCAGGGAAGGGCTGGAGCTGGGCCAGGGCAGGGCAGGCTGGAGCTCAGGGAAAGGTTCTTCCCCCAGAGGTGCTGGCACTGCCCAGGCTGCCCAGGGAATGGGCACAGCCCCGAGGCTGCCAGAGCCCCAGGGATGCCCAGGGTGGGGTTGTTGGGGGGTCTGGGCAGGGCTCCATCATCCTTGGTCCCTTCCAGCTCAGGATATTCCATGATTCTACAACCCCACACCATTTTTATTCTCACTTTCCCTCAGCATCCTGAGCATGGCACTGGAACAATGACAGCAAATCCATGGACAGAAACTCTCATTCCATCCCAGTGACAGGAACAAAGGCTGCCCCCCTGATGGACGAAATCAGTGACAGAATTCCCCCTGACTTTCATGGGATCAGATTTTTACCCTAAAGCCTGGGAGAAAATGTTCAGAAAGACGCTCTTCCAGAAAGTCTCAATTGTGAGGATTCTGAATTGCCTTATTAATGGCTGAAATGGATTTGTGCAGAGGCCCAGGCACACATTTCCCCCCAATCCTAAACCTCTCCCAGTCTTAAACATCTCCGAATCCTAAACATCAGCCAATCCTAAACCTCAGCCAATCCTAAACCTCTCCCAATCCTAAATCTCAGACAATCCTAAACTTTAGCCAATCCTAAACCTCACTCAATCCTAAACCTCAGCCAATCCTAAATCTCAGCCAATCCTAAATCTCAGCCAATCCTAAACCTCACTCAATCCTAAACCTCAGCCAATCCTAAACCTCAGCCAATCCTAAATCTCAGCCAATCCTAACCTTCTCCCAGGCCTAACCCTCTCCCAAGTCCTCCTGGAGGGTTTGAGGAAGATCTGACCAGTCCCAAGCCTCAGGCTGGGCCCTCTGGCACCATCACCCCACCAGCACAAACTCGTCCCCACCAGATTTGGGGTTGAAACCCCTCCTGAATGGGATGAGAAATGCTGGGCCTGACACCTGAGCTCCAGCTCTTCCATCACTGAACAGACACCAGGATTTTCCAGTGGCATTTGTGGGAAGTTGTCCCAGCCCTGCCTTTTCCACACTCTTCCAACCACAACAGCGTTTTCCTCTCTGTGTACACCCAATTTTATCCTGTTTTTAGGGATGCCAGACTTATGGAGAATGTCTGGTGAGCTGCTAGAAAATCTACCTGTTTATCAGTCATGATAATTGAAGACAAATTTTAGACAGATTTAATGACCAACAATATCAAATATTAAAAATATACTTATTATATTAAAAATGTACTCTAAATCTTGCAGATTTTGTGCAAGTGAGGGAAGTAAGCACAGCAAAAGCTCTTTTTCTGTTCCACTGAGGGAATTGGCAGACACTAAAATGCCCTGTGGAAGGATCCAGCGTTTACCCCTTTATAATTAGGGATTAATCAATCTGGAGATGCACATCTGATGAAAACAAATACTTTTTTTTTTTTTTTTTTCAGTAGCTGATGCCATGATGCCATCACAATCAGAAGTTAATTAATCAGAAGTTAATTATTTCTTAATTATAGGCATTTCTTGACCTATCAGCTTTAGCCATGCCATGCTGTAAATGCCTTAAAGCAAATAAACTAAAACCACCCCTCATGGATCCCACTACAATGCATTTTTCACAGTTTTATCTCTCTAAATTTCTAGTCTTATTTACAAGGCCATCCTTTAAAACTTGTTTCTAGTTCCATTTCTCTTTCAACGCCTGTCCTATTCCATGGCATTTCTTATCTCAAGGTTTGCATACAGACGCACACTGTGTGAGCCTTCTATCAAACTTTGAGAATTCCCTACAAATTAATTTCCCACAGTCTTCAAAAAAATCCTTGAGCCCGTGTACAAAAACAGATGTGAGAAGCAGAGGGTGGAGAGTTCGGTGCTACCTGGAGGTCACAGAGATCCCAAATTAGCTTTGAACAAATTAAGTGATTGATTAAGAGAGGGATTTAATGCAAACAGCAGCAGGGGCAGATCCCCTGCAATCACCTCTTGTAACTCGACTCAGAATTCACAGAATTCACAGAATCACAGAATCACAGAACCACTGGGTTGGAAGAGACCTTCCAGACCATCGAGTCCAGCCCAGCCCCAACCCCTCAGCTCAACCCTGGCACCCAGTGCCACATCCAGGCTTGTTTTAAACACACCCAGGGATGGGGACTCCACCACCTCCCCGGGCAGCCATTCCAGAACTTTGTCACTCTTGCCATGAAAAACTTTCTCCTGACACCCAACCTGGATTTCCCTGGGACAGCTGAGGCTGTGACCTCTGGTTCTGTCAGCTCCTGGAGAAAGAGCCCAGCCCCAGCTGGCCACAGGCACCTTCCAGGAGCTGTGGGGAGTGCTGAGGTCAGCCCTGAGTCTCCTTTTCTCCAGGCTGAGCACCCCCAGCTCCCTCAGCCGTTCCTCACAGCGTTTGTGTTCCCAGCCCCTCTCCAGCCTCGTTGTCCCCTCTGGATGCTCTCAAGCATCTCCATGTCCTTCCCAAACTGAGGGGCCAGAACTGGACACAGAAATATAAAAATGCAGCACTGGAAGGACTCAAGGCAGAAGTTTCTCAAATGAATTAAAGTGAAAGCAAAATAAACTGGACAAAG